AGGACAGTCTTTGCCTACTGTGGCACAAAATTCAAAAACGCTATAACAGTTTTCTGGTCTGTAATAGCAAAATAAGTCGAAACGCCGAGACAGTCTTCGCCTACTGTGGCACCAAATCCAAACGCTGATACAGAGACTGGTTACCTCTGTAGAAGCACCAAGTCGAAACGCCAAGACAGCTGCTACTCGCTGGGCACTAAGTCGAAACGAGAGAGTTACTCACTAAAACTTGAGATGAAGACTCATTAAAAATGAACGAGAGAGTTACTCATTAAAACTACCTAAGTCGAAACTTTTTCTTTTATCCCTAAAAGAGCCCGCTAGAGGATTGCTTTGCTTTCTAACATCTCTTTCTGTTATCAAAATGCTCTTTAGCACTAGGCGTCTAGTAAGCGATAGCTATCGCTTACCTAGACAAAGGCCGAAGCACCACAGACACACTTCAAGCACAAACTCGTATTTGTAAATAAATCTAGTTAGAACGGCCTCGGCCAAAGTCTTACATAGCCTCGAGCTCACTAGACTCTAATGGAACAAAAAAAAATGCTTATCCGGGTATTCATAGGTCATCTTCTCCAGGACTTCATTTACCTGCACGGAAACCTATCTAAAGTGAAACAGTAGACTTAACTCTAGAATGGTGTCATGTCGGGCAAAAATCCGCCAAGTGAAGAAACAAGCTAGGCGGCGTTTGGTTCCGTGTAACCATATTAGCACAACACACCCATGTCGCGTCTCGGCTGCGCAATTGGCCGATTAATCTGTCTTTTATCACTGCCATTGAGTCCCTGTAAATGAATAGCCAGATGAACTATCGTTATTTCTAATCATCCATTCGTGGACGTCGCGATGAAACTTGCCACAGAACCTCTCAAAACCGTCAGAATACGGTTGAAATCTTGACGAATGATCAAAACCTGCTCTAAGTAAAAGGGGTGGAGGTTGGGTGGGCTCCAGTGGGCTCCGGCAGGTGACCTCTCGTTATTGATGAAGATCTTGGCCTGCCAAGATCTGAAGGCTTGGCCTTGTAAAGCAACCGTGTTTGACGTCCCGTCACTCGTGGGATTATACTTTCTTCAATTTGTTCAATCCCATGTAATTCCTGATCGATTTGCATTCAGGATGATTTCGGATGTCACGATTTTAAGGCGTCTTAGCTTATGCTCATATGAAGAGGGAATAAAAGAATAGGAAATCCGTTCGTCAAACCGGGTATCCATTGCTTGGTTAGCTTTCGATCGCCTTTCTTTCATTGTTCCTGAAATCCATCATCATGCGTACCTCTGTTCTCGCACTCGTCGTCGCTCCCACTGTCGTGCTTGGCCAAGTCCCGGTCTACGGCCAGTGTAAGTCATAGACTACCATGTTTTCTGAAGCGAATTAGTATACTGATTTTGTCTTTGCATAGGTGGAGGCTCAGGATGGACTGGTGGTACGACATGCGCTTCTGGCTCCGTGTGCACCAAAATCAAGTAAGTGCTGGCCTGACCCTGTCGCAGCGATCTTCACGCCGCGTTTCTTCTGACACGATATGTAGTGATTTTTATTCTCAATGTGTTCCTGGATCTGGCGCAGCTCCCACTACTACCAACGGCGGCGGCGGCAGTAGCCCTGCTCCTACTGGAGGCTCAGGAGCTGCAGGTGGACTCCACGACAAGTTCAAGGCCAAGGGAAAGCTCTATTTTGGTACCGAGATCGACCACTACCATCTGAACAATGCGCCTTTGACTACCATCGCGAAGAACAGCTTTGGACAGATCACGCACGAGAATAGTTTGAAGTGGGATGCTACTGAGCGTGAGTACTCTCTTTCGCTTTACCCTTGATCCCATGGTTGTAGACTGACTGGCCTTCGTACGTAGCACAACGCGGGTCATTCACCTTTAGCAACGCTGATGCTGTCGTCAACTTTGCCACACAGAACGGAAAGTATCTACGTGGCCACACCCTCCTCTGGCATTCACAGCTGCCGTCATGGGTCACCCAAATCAATGACCGCAATACACTGACGACTGTCATTCAAAACCACGTGACTGCGCTCGTCACGCGCTACAAGGGAAAAATCCTACAGTGGGATGTTGTTAATGAGATCTTCACTGAGAATGGTAATCTTCGAGACAGTGTCTTCAGTCGTGTACTTGGCGAAGACTTTGTTGGCATCGCCTTCCGCGCCGCCCGCGCCGCTGACCCCAACGCTAAACTCTACATCAACGACTACAACCTCGATATTGCCAACTACGCCAAGGTTACGACGGGTATGGTGGAGCACGTTAACAAGTGGGTGGCACAGGGTATTCCCATTGACGGCATCGGCTCACAGTGCCATCTCGCCCAACCTGGCGGGTGGAACCCCGCCTCAGGAGTTCCCAACGCCCTCAAGGTACTGGCCGGTGCCAACGTCAAGGAGATTGCAATTACAGAGCTCGATATCGCGGGCGCGGCAGCCAACGATTACCTCACCGTTATGAATGGCTGTCTCGCCGTATCCAAATGTGTGGGTATCACTGTATGGGGCGTGTCAGACAAGGACAGCTGGCGCAGCAGTGACAGACCTCTCTTGTTTGACAACAACTACCAACCTAAGGCGGCTTACACGGCCCTGGTTAACGCCTTGTAAGAGATTTGGGATTCGAGTCAGTCATTACATTGGAAGGTGGATAGAGCTTGAAAGTTGATACATTTATGCAACGCTACAAAAGATGCCGATTCTATGTGTGAAGGCTGCAGTGATTACCCGAGCGCCATGTAGTACTCATTCATGTGCGATATCTTGACTTGATTGCCAGTACTGTCACCTCGCAGCCTTATCATCACTACTCTCTTGATTCTCAACATGAATTTGTCCTCCACTATGAGGCTGAACAGTCTCAGACTGTCCCCCTTCTTCGTTCTGTACTCCTGCTGCGCTTGTGCTTTCTTGACTGGGTCTTCTCAACCCGGCCACATATTCTGGTCGCTCCGGTAATTCGTCCCCCGGTGTTCTGATTATCGGAACGCCGTGCAAACCGCCAGGCGCCGTGTTTGTGCCGGGCAACTCGGCTCTTCTGGTCGACGGGAGATGGTCCGCTTCAACCGCTTGTCTTGGTGTTTCAAGCTCCTTCAGCTCATCGCCGAACAGCTCAGCAGGGCTGTTTTCGTTGACGACTTGGAGTTCATACTTGTGCTTCTCTCCCTCTGGTGAAGCTCCAATTGGGGAATTCTCAAGTTCGTGAGGACCGTGGCGTTTACGGTGTCGGCGGTGCAGAAACAATGCTGCAACAGCGATAAGACTGAGCCCTGCAACGCCACCAACGACGCCACCAGCAATGGCCCCCGTATGGCTTTTGCCTTGGGAATTTCCTGTAGTCGTAGTGTTTCCAGACAATGTGTACTTGCGTGGTGTTGCGAAAACTGTTTTAAGACGTTCATCCGTCCAGCCTAGAGCAGGGTCCTTTTTCGTCGCATTGCCGTGGGCATTCCCACCCGTCACACTGAGCAGTTTCTGTGGTACTTCGAAATTGGATAGGTTGATCATAAAAACACTACCCCATGTCAAAGTGCTCATTTCCCAGACAGCAACGCCTTTGATTTCCCAATCACATGTCAGTCCGTTGGTTTTGTTTCCGCCTACTGTGATCATCTGGCGCCTTCCAGCAACGTGACAGTTGTGGCCCCATCTTGGTGCCTCACCAAGCGGCCAAACATTAGTCCAGGTAAACGAGGGTAACGTGAGAATAAGGACATCGTCATAGGCCGTATTCGTAATGGGGTCTACGCCGCCGTAGAGGTAGATATGGTGGCTTGAATTATCGGCTGAAGATATGGCAACTGTACAGAAGTCTATTCGAGGCGCGGGGATCTCTCCGTTTGTTTTCTGCGAATACCACGTGCCGTTACTGTCGGGATTTTGGAGGTAAGAGTTGATATCAAATACATCGACAGTTCCGAAATCAATCTGCTATCAGGTGAGATAGGTGTGGTGTTTTGTTTTCGATGTGATACTAACCAGCGAGCCAGCACTGACATTGGCAAATGGGCTTGCAAGGCTGGGCTGTATCTGGCCGCCCAGGGCTATGAGCACACCCCTGCTTCCAACTGAAGGAAGGTATTCCATAGTACCACCCACACGCGGAGTACCATCCCGTAATTTGGTAGTGGATATATTCTTTCCCGATTGGGTGTTGAGGTCGATGATGACCATGCCCTGTAGAGGCACATAGATAGCTTCCGTCTTTGGAAAACTGTCCAAGGTTGTTGATGAAGTACCCCAATCAATCTGTCCGTTCAGGTAAAACGCGAGACCTTGGTCTATTGCCTCGGCACCCGCTCCATGGTTTGGCATCCACTCGGTATCTTTTGCGTACTGCCCCCAAGGATAGCTTTCTTGGTATGTGTATGACCACAAGGGATATGCTGATGAGTCGGGCCAAGCATATGCCTCGAATGATTGGTTCCCCATGAATGTTGTCCCACCGTAAACATAGACCTCAGGTTGGCCTGGGGGGCCATGAAACATATGACCACGAATCTGGCTTGGTGGGAGTGTTCCCGTGCTCGGATTGGTTACATTTTTGGCATGAGCATGTTCGATGATATTCAGCTTCCAGTCCCATGTGAAGTTGAGGGGAATCGTAATCATGTAGCTGTTGATGCCAATGATTGGGGATGTGACGTCTGTGCCATTCCACTTTTGTACTCCACTATCAATGTACAGCATTTCATTCTTGACAACGGACTGGGACCCTGGTGTGAGAAATCATCAGCATCCGTCCAGATACGGCTTAAATCCCGCGCGGTGGGATAATTGACGACAAAAAGCATAGCGCGCAGCGAGATGTTGGATAAAGCAGCGCCACTTACACCATCGAGAGCAGAAGTTGGTCAGAGGATTGAGGCTAAAGCTTTTTGCAGCCTGCGCGCGGGCGAGTCGTGAATGCCATATGCTACAGAGCACAAGATATTGCAGACTTGATTGTGTGAGCCAGGACAATTTCGGAATGCGGGAAGCCATGGTCTTCAAGCATGCCGGTAGCGTTGAGTGAGTTGGACGAGGTTGCAAAATCCGCCCGACCGGTCAGGGGGAGACGGAGACCCACAGGGACGAGGCAGCGTATATGTACGGTACTCTGAAGGCGACCTGCACGCGCTATTCGAAGTGGTTTTGCGGTGCATTGTGCTGTCACGTTGCTATGGCTATTGCAGAGGCCGCCTTTTCTGCAGAATCTGGGTGGGGTGGTGAGCAGCCCGAAGGATCGCATACCTTGTCTTGGGATGCTTACTCACCCAGCGCGCCAGACCAGAAGCGGCTAGCTCGCTCGAGACTTGCCACAAACGAGTTAGCGGAAAGCGACAGTGTGCACTGGAAAAGGGCCGAGCGTAACACATTCCCTGCTGTCCAAATTGGCCGAAGTGGCTGCTGGCATTTGCTATTATGCCATGGCGTGAAAGCGCTGCGTGTTGGCGTGCAACATTTCCCACGCCTTGGCCAGTCTAGCGAATCGTGGACATGGTGCGCCGCTTCGGCCTGCGCCCGATACGAACAACACCGGCATATGACCATCTAGACCACCACCACAGGGCGATTTGCACGGGCTGATCCCTGTGAAGGCTGGTGGCATTCAGAGATGCGCGACCTGCGGTGAGCTTTCTGGGCATATTTAACAAGGGGCGCTACCCCTGGCATGGGAGGCGGTCCTGTATGTAGACAAGCTTTCCGTGTCAGGCTTATACGTCTATGTATGTAATCCAGACAGTGCAAAGATAAGCAAGACATCCATTAGTCACGAGGCCCTGGTGGTGCGTGCCGATGCTCCACGCACGGCAGCCTGCTTAGTGCGAATATTCTGACACTTTGTGGCAGAACGGATTGACTTCGCAGCATGGATAGGTAAGTAGTAAGAGGGTTAGACCTATCGTACTGGCTAACATCTGGTGCACTCAGCTATGTCTTGACCTCGTACACTACAAGTACATACCTACTCATCCACGCAACAGGCCGACTCTTGTCACGCACGGATAAGAGAGACTGCATGGCTCTACACGCTCAACCTAGCTTAGCACACTTGGCAATGCGGAGAGGACTGGGGGGAAGTCCCGCACTAATCCACGTGAAGCTGGCCCCGCGAACCGAACTTTACAGTAAGCATACAAGTGCTGTGCATGATACCTTGATTTATACTACTACTAGTAACTACATTCTTTCGCGGCATGGATGTGGGGACGTTGAATCGGGAAACAGCTGGCACGATCCCATGATTCTTATAGATTAATCCAATAATTATCGTCAAGTGTAGCTCTCAATGAAGGTTGACATTGACAATATGCTGCATAAGAACACCTAAACTGAAATGCGGTTTCAGGTGTTAGAATAAAGGCTGGATAAGTGCATAGAAACTATATCCCAGGTCACAAATGGACTTACTCCAGCAATTTTAACACCCAAGATTTACACTCTAGTGATGGGGTTTTATGTAGATCTTCCCAAACGCTTCGTTCTTTTTACTGTCAAACTACACTCAGTTGTGGATGTGCTCTCCATCTTACCGCTTGAGTACTGATGCAAGAAATGACATGTAGCAGTAGGTGACCTAGTACAAAGTTCACATTATTGCCTAAGTAAGGCACGTCTAGCGTTTGAATACGCTGCTAGAAACGCTAGAAGAGACCAAGAGATCCACGTCTACGCAGACAACCAGGCAGCAACATATAGGCTTAGCAGCCTATCAGATAGCCCAGGCCAACAATGGTTAATCCGATGCCTAAAAGCAGCCAAGACTATTCAATCCAAGAAGGCCAGCATCCATCTCCAGTGGGCACCAGGCCATAAAGCAGTTAAAGGAAATGAAAGAGCAGACGCGTTAGCAAAGGAAGCAGCCAAAGAAGAGCCAAACTCTACTACAGCAAGCCTCGCCTTTCTAGGCACAGAGACGAGACTACTACAGCTAAGAGATCAAAGCCAAGAGTGGCATAAATATAGAGAAAGAGCCATCCAGGAAAACAAGCATACCTACTCTGCTAGATTTCCCCTTGCTTACCCTAAGGCAATCCAAATCCCAAGAGGTACACCAAGGGAAATCTCTAGCGCCTTCTTCTCTCTCAAGCTAGGCCACGGATACTTTAACGCCTATCTAGAGAGAGTGAAAAAAGAGAAACTCAAACCTCTGCGTTTGTGGGAGAGTACAGACACCAGATCACCTTCTCCTATACTGCTGGCACTACAACAAAGGAAAGGCA